TCATTGTATTATATATATATATATATATATATATATATAAGATTATTTATTTTAAGATAAATAACTTGTTATTAATAAAAATAAAATTTAAAAGGTAAGATTTTTTCTCCTTTTTTTTTTTAAATAAAAGTGAAGGAACAGTGCTACTAAAGAAAGTAAGACCAGAATACGATAAGAAATCCAACAAATTTAATATTTTATTAAAATAAATATCATTTAAGTCTTGTATTCAACTTATTTTCACCAAAAACATGAAATGCTCTATGAAGTATGAAGCATAAAATAATTATTGATTGTTCTACAGTTATTCTTCTTGGCCAAAATCTATATACTCTAAGTATAATGATTGCTGTTTTAAAATTCTTATCTGAAAAGGTTTGAGAGAGATGAATATCTTTTGATGATTATATATATATTTAATATTCACGGTACCTCCATTTTGATTAGAAAATGATGCGCATCTTATTTGTCTTTTTTCTATATAAAAGTCGTGACCAAATGCAGTGTCGAATTTGCGTTCTTCCAACGCTAAAACCACGCGCTGCCACGTGCGGCTTTCTGGGACCCGCACGTCATCGACATCAAAGTTCTTCTTTTCTCTGCATTTTATAATATTTTTATCAGATAAATCAACAATTAGTTCCCAACCACTGAATTTGCATCCAAACTAAAAGTATATATAAATAGTTTATTATTAATCATCAAGTAAGCAATCCTAAGTTCAGTCTTTCTACTCAAATACGAGTCTTGTATAAAAAGAAATTATTAAAAGAGAGATCTTATTAAAGATATTTCAATTATGTTATCTAAAATTATTCATCAATAAAACTAATAAATACTATGTATTAATAATATAATTATAAAAAATAACTACTACTTTCTTATTAAATTTAAATAAAATTTGACAAGAATTTTTAAAGTGATATATAATTATAGAAGTATAATTCAATAATTAGATCAAGAAAACATATTTCTTATATAAAATTATTAAATAATATAATAATTGTAAAACTTATACCAATATATACATATATATACACATACATAGAAATAAGTTCTATTAACATCCGAATGTCAAATTAAATCAGCTATATAAAGTTTCATACAATTTTAAAATGGTTGAATAAATTATATTAATTTATTTTAATGTATAAAATAATATTCAATAAATATCAATTATTAAATAACATATGTTTTGGTTTAAAAAAAATTCACTTACTAAATGTAAATCTTAATTAGTTACTTCATTTAATAATTTATTATTTATATTTAATATTAACAATTTAGTTATTAAATTAAAAAAATTTAATACATATATCAATTCAACAAATTTATAAATAAATAAAAAAGCTACTCTATACACAGTTACATTAATTTGAATAGATGATTATTCACATAAAAGCATTTTTTTTTACGTTAATTTAAATGAATGTAAGATTTTGTTTTCTGATACTCTATTATTCATACATCATACTCAACCACAGTTAGATCGTCAGCTATTGATATATAAAAAGTCGTTTGATATAAAGATGAATATTTAACAAGTTGAAACCAATAATTCAGTTAATCTAAAGATTTTTTACATTGAAGAGTGTGAATGGGCGCCAAATATGGGGCTCAAAGAGTATATTCCCTCAACTTGTATGTTTGTCATTTTTTTCCAGTTTAGATGCTGATTCCTTTCAAACAGAATATATAATGATTTTCTTTTCTTTCTAAAATGATAAATTTTGGATCAACAACCTCCATATCGCACTAACTGAAAAAGGCTCCATAAATCACATAACGTTATTAGGCTTCATTATAAATAACTTTTTAATAAAGTTATTTATCATGCATTCCTTTTTAACATTTTTTTCCCAACATTTTTCTTGATCTCCTTTTACCTCTTAAAAGAATTACAAATTATGCAATCTATTTTCTTCACCGCGGTGCCTCCTCCAAGTACACTGCAATGGCAACATCATTTTATGGTCATTGCATGAAAGGAGGTTTCTCTCATGTTTGTTCAAAAAATAATGAAAATCAGGCAAATATCTGAGAATTAAAAAAGGGGGGGAAAAACTAATGTAGAGAAATTTAGAACCTAAGAAATCCCTGTTTCAAAATTAAATAGCAAGGATTTAACCATTTACCTTCCTTGGCAAGCATTGCATAAATGCTTTAACTATTCCTGCTAGCAGAGATTGATCCAATATCAATGTTGTCCACTTTATGGATGAATAGACGAGGTGGTTTTTCTCTATCAGTAGCAAAGATGAAATAATCAGATTAATAGAATAAAGGCGTAACTCAAGAATATTTACAAGTTTAGCTTCAGCCAGCAAGGCCCAGTTCTGTTTCTTGCCTAACTGTTTATGAAGTAATTAAATCTTTCAATATTCAACATGACCTAACAGCTATCAAGGCCTTTTTGGTCTAAGTGTACTGGGATGAAGGGTTCTCATAATTTAAATGGAAATTAAAATTTACAAAGACCAAAGTTCATATTTGAAAATCAATAAAATGTACATACTAAATAACCATGGTCCATGGCCAAGACAAGCTATATCGCATGAGTAAAAGAAAGGAAGAAAATTTTCATGATTCATAAACAAAATAAATAAAAGGTAACCCATGCTCAATTTACAATATCCTGCGTATATAGAAATTCCAACAAAGCATAAAATGAAAAATAAATCATTCAGGTGTTGCAAATATCATATCTCACTAATACATTATACATCTTAGGCATTTTCTTTCAATAAAATATTAAATTTGGAAGCACAAACTTTAGAGTCCTTAATTATACATTGGCAAATACTAAGATCAAGAGATATTTATACACTTAAAAAAAGTGTAAAACAAACTGAAACCCGTTGTCTCATTCCTTTATGATTATGAGGCAAGAAATGAAAATTGCAATGCCAATCGTAACATTGGAACAGAACATCAGGTTTCACATTTGATATGGAAGAAATGAGCTAAAGGACAAATAGCATGAGAATTACTCACATTTCATTTGCTTCTTGGTAAGAATGGCTTGACGCTACAGCCAGAAGCTGTCCCTCGTGGTTGTATGATAAGGATGCAACACTATTTGGGTGTCTGGGAAACTGAAATTCAGAAAAGATGGGTAGTAAAGCACGGAAACTAATGAGCTGATTACAATTTACAAACACTATAAGGAGTAGAAACAATTATGAACTTGATAGGCAAATACCTCAACTAGTCTTTTCCTACTTCCAGCATCCCATATGGTAACATAACCTTCATTGTCACCGGTGGCAAAAGCACCAGATACACTAAATAGAAATTATATTAATCAAATTTCAAGTTTTATAATTTATAATGGCAACCTATATAAGAAGAGAAGGTACATACAGTGGACTGAATGCAATGTCATTCACTGATACCAAATAATGCCGTCCATCCTTTGATTTTGGATGACACCGGAATATATATCTGTGGGGATTCGATAAATCAAAATGTTAGAAGTTGTGGTAGTGATTAACAACAATCTGCAAACTCAAATGCTTTCAGCGTAAAACATTAGGGTCCAAATCAAACAATAAATGGATATATGGTTTAGGATATCAGTTAGGCATGTATTTAATTCAACAAATTTTGCAAACGATCAATAATTCATGGTCAATGGTAGCTGAAATCGAGAAAATAGAAAGAAGTTGCAAATGTCGATTTTCTCAGTGTTGCGCAAACAATTAGACAGGGAACACCACACACACGCTCCACCCATGAGCTCAAAATAGGAATCAAGCACCAAAGAATTTATGTCCTAATGTGTTCAATAGTCAAGAAATATAATATAGGAGTAGGCCATATGATACAACGGGACATTACAAATTTTAAAAATTATAAGACACTACAAAGCTATAATATTACGTAAATTATTATAAGATTAACATAAAACATAAATCTTAAATCAAAAGAGAGAATCGATGTTTTAAAAGTGAACATAAAAAGCTATAGACCTATAGTTTATCTAATTATTGTAACATTCCCATTTGTAATTTGTATAGGCATACAACAACCAATCTGTTTCTCACTAGATTGGATTGACTACGGATTAAACGACACTATAATGTTCTGTAATAAATCAGATCATATCTATAAATAAATTATTAACCGCTTAAGTGCTTCTTAAATGTTTGGCTTATAGTTTTTCTGGGTCTGCTTCTGCCTCTAGCAACTGGATTACCCTCCATCTAATCTGCTCTCCTTATTGGAACATCTACTGATCTTCTCCACACGTCTAAACCATCAAAAAATTCTGTCTTTTTCTATAATAGGTGTTACCCCAACTTTTTCTCTACCGAATGCATTCCTAATTCTATCTTGTCTAACATGTCCATTCACCCTTTTGCTACATGGAATGTACTATATTCTCTTATTGGCTTTTCACTTGCCCAACATTCAGTTCCATACAGCATTGTAGGTTCTATTGTTGTGCAGTAAAACTTTCCTTTAAGCATGAGTAGTATGCACTCCTCCATTTTATCCATTATAGTTGAATCCTATGGTTTTCATCTCTTTATTTCCATTTATCCTATATGATGGACCCCAGATATTTAAATTGCATTACTTGTAGAAAAGTATGTTCTCCAGGTTATACTTGTTGCACCTCTTGCTAAGCTTACATTCCCTATAATTTATTTTATTTTTACCTACGCAAAAGCTGATTTTCAAAGCCTACCTCCACATATCTAACTACTCGTTTATCTAGTCAGTTAGTCCTCCAACCAAATTTATATCGTCTACAAAAAGCATGTATAGTGGTACTGGCTCTTTGATTTGCTTGGTTAGGACGTCGAAGACTATAAAGAAAAAACACAAGGGTTCAAAGCTAACCCTCGGGCATTCTTAGGGCCATAGGAAAAACTAATGTGACACCATATTGTATGCTCACCATTGTTATTACCTCCTAATAATTAATAAATAAATTTCCTTGATTGCTCAAAATATTTGCAATGCAATTTCCTTTCTTCTCTAAGGCCTTCTACAAAGCCTCTCTTGACACTCGATCATATGCCTTTTCCAAGTCAATGAAAACCTAATAAAAATCTTTTGTTTCATCAAATTTCTCTCCATCAAGTGTATTGGGAATCAATTAGTGATGTGGCTAAATTAGTGTATATAAGTAGGAAACAATCTTCACCTTACAAATTGATTTTGTAAAGTCGAGTTAGGTTCCTAAAGCACTTTCTTAGGATGCATCCGTGCATATTAAAGCCTATGCTATCCTAGCAAATAATGTTGAGTTTATCAAGTCACCTATTATTGAGTCGTTATCGGACCACTCGTAGATGTCCATTCTTACAAACTTCATGCTCAACATATTCAGTCCTCGACATGTAAGAAAATGTATAAGGGATCTCACATCAATTAAGAATAAGGCCATAATAGTGGATATAAGTAAGGAACAATCATCACCTTACAAATAGATTTTGATTTTGTAAAGTTGAGTTAGATTTTTAACCCACTTTTTCAAAAGTGTCGCAACAAGTACATTGTTTCCATGGTTGACCTCTCAGGCATAAATCCAAATTGATTTTCAATAATGGGAGTTTCTTGTCTTAATCTCTTGTCAATAACCTTTTCCCATAATTGGATATTGGATATAAATAAAAATATGAAGAAAACAAATGTAAACTATAGCTACGAGTATTTGAACTGTCTATTATCGGTTAATTGCCTTTTTTCCATAATTAGATAGGTATAACAGTTAAAAAATAAAATAGAAAAAATAATAAGATATAGCTGTGACTGTGAGCATGTGAAGTGTCTATCCAAGTGCAATAACATGGTTACTGTTTTAAAAGTGTGTATTTCATGACATGAAAACCATCAAATCAGACCTATAATCAGACCAAACCAAATCAACCCTTGGCAAATACATCATGTGGCTGTTAAACAGAATTATGCATATTATAACTGCTCTAGTCTCTCATTCACAGTTAAATTTTTCCTTATCGTTGAATGGATTGCCTACAAGGTTACAATAGCAAAATGTAGGTGTTGTAACTATGGAAGTTAGGTTATAAAATTAGAACTACTGGAGTGCACTGCATCCTTATTAGTCGTTCGGCAAGTAAGCAAGTCCTTTTGTGAACCTCAACGACTGAGAAAAGGGAAAAGGGAAAGGCAAATGTAGTATCTGAATTTTAAAAAAGGCAAATATGAAATGTAAAATGTTCATCTAAAACTGACCTAATGTCATTTGAACTGGATGGATAGGAAATCTGCAGTGATACTCGTCCATCTACAGACCCAACTGCGAATCCTGCAACAACAACAGACTTAAAATCTGCCTAAACTCTGATTTCTGATTGTGATTGGTGATTGCCTATGAACAGTTTGTCTAGCATTTTCAAATCTCATGTATTAATGGTATCTGGAAAACCAAATAACTTAAAATATGACAGGACTTGAAAAAGTCCTTAGTGGATCAGAAAGAACAGCAGCAACCTTCCTAGGTTGACTGAATAAAATAACACCACATAGTTCATACCTTCTGCATCTGGAATTGAACTAACACAGCTCAAGTGTGGTCCATTCAATGCCTCTTTTGATTGAACTGGTTTGTCAAAGTTACGTAAATCATAAACATGCACTGATGCTCCAATGGCTACAGTAAGATTAAACCCAGAGACATACATGGAGTCCACCTCTGCATCTAGACTTCTCAAACACGAAGAAGCCTTCTCCGTATGCATGTCCCACGAAATTAACTTCTTGTCAAATCCAGATGTGATCAACTGACCTGTAATAACCAAGGCTAAGAATAATATGAACTTTTTTGAAAGACAATACACCATGGCCATGAGACCTTTTGTTGCCAAAACTAGCATATCAACATTTTAACTTTTATAAGCTTCTGAGAATATGTAATTTATAATTACAACTGAAAAAAGTCAGCATTAGTAAAATTAGGTTACCCGTAAGACATGATTGGCAGGTTGAAACAATTTTTGAGAAAAAAATTAATACTTTTAAATTGCAATTTTACTTTTTTATTTCATCTCTCACCGTCATAACAGCATCTTGAATTCCCCAGCAAGAAATTATTAATCCGTATACTTCAATAATTTCTCAAGGCTTGAGAAATGATCAAGGCTTATGCTTAGAAATTGTTGGCATAGTCCACAAGTTTTTGGGTTTGCAGATATATCCACCAATGATTGTATCAGAGCTAAACTAGTAACATAACATCTAACATGTAATAAGTTACCTATCCTTGAATGTCTCAACTCTCAACACACATGAAAAAAACATAAGAAACCATGTATCGCTAATATGCCCTTTCAATATAATACCAATAATTAAAAAAAAAAACAATAAAATGCAACAATTATTAACAGAAAAAAAAAAAAAAAAATAGTGGTCTACTGGTCTAATTAGCTTACATGTTTGATTGGAATATCCAACACACGTTGCTATATCATCGTGACTACCCACTGTATCAACATGTCCAGAATGCAAGTCATACCTATAAAAAATAAAATGTAAAACACACATCATATATCATATCCTATGTGAAACTAACGATAGTCACACCATGCTGCTTATTTCGTTTTCCAATTTTCTTATTAAATATGTTGTTATTAATAATTAATGATTAAAAACGTTCTATTTTTACCTTCTACATTAAAAACCTATTAAGCAATTTAAAAATAAGTTAAAATAATATTTAGTCGACAGAAGGCATCAGATTAATCTTTAATTGTCAGCTTTAACACACAGTGAATCACGTTAGGTAACCATATTTATTTTACAAAAGTTGTTAATATAAAACAAAATGGAGAAGGAAAATTAAATGTAATTTATATGAAAACTGGGAAGAAGGAAAGTGAAGACCTTCGGATGAATCCGTCGGAGGCGGCGGTGAAGGCAAGGGCGTGGTCTGGGAAGCAGGAAGCGAGAAGAGGAGCTTGGGAAGGAGCTTGGAGTCTGAGGATGGAGGCGTCGACGTCGTAGAGGCGAAGATTCTGAATGAGAAAGAGAAATTGAGAATGAGGGAATGGAATGGAACGAAGGAAAGGAATGAAAGAAACTTACGGAGTCCCAAGAAGAGATGAGGAGGTTGTTGTTAGAGTGAGGCGCGAATTGGAGTTCAGAAATGGCGTCGCCAAATGCTAAATCCAATTCCATCCAATCTCCATTCATTTTCCAAACACTCTTCTCTTCCTTCAAATTTCAATTCTCCCGCTCACCCATGCTACTCCCAATCTTATCTCCAATTCCCTTAAATATAATAAATGCTTAAATATATTTTTAGTCTCTTAAATTTAAGATAAATTTATTTTATGTCTCTCAAATTTAAAATTGTTATTTTTAATCCCTGTAATTTTTAAAAATCTTGTTTTAGTCTCTTAATTCATAAATAGCTTATATAAAAGTGATAAATTAAAATAATTATACAATATCAACTAGATTTAATGTGATGTTTTCACTAATAGAGACATTAATAAACAGATTTTATGCAATAATATTTAATAAAAAATATCAAAATTTGAATATAAAGATTAAAATAATATTTTTTGAAATTATAGAAACTAAAATAGCAATTTTAAATTTGAGAAATTAAACACAAATTTACCTTAAAATTTTATTTATTTTTTGTAAAGATAAGAAAGATTACAAAAATGGTCGCAATGAGGATTGAACTTGGTCCTCATGCTTCTAACTACTCCAACCCCTCCCCACCCAACTACTAGGCTAATTCTAGTGGTTAAATTTACCTTAAAATTTGAAAGACTAAAAACATATTTAAGTCTATAATAAATTAGTTGTTTCTCTCATGTCTTATGAGGGATTTTTTTCATTTTTTAATATTTTGACAATAATTTATTTTTTAAATATATTTTTATTATCTAATTTTAAAAATTATACAATTATTTATTATATTAATATCAAAATATGCTTAAATATCAAAATATGATCGTATAAATGTAAGTAAATAAAAATAAAATATATCAAATTTTTTAACATAAGTGTAAGTAAGTTTCTAAGTTTTTTTATGAAAAATTTTAATTTTAATTTTATTAATGTGTTATTATTTTTTTAATATTACACCAATTTTTAATAGTTAATATTTTTATGTAAATTTTATAATTACTTTTATTTTAAAACTACAGTAATTTAAAATTAATGTAATTAATGTTTTATGTTGTGGTTACTGTTTCTCAAATTAATGTGTTATTATATTGTAAAATTAAGTTATTATTATTATCATCTAAAAATGTCAATGCAGATTGCAGACTTTGACATGGAGTAATAATTATGTAGGGAGTAAGTAATATAAGTTGCTCGATGTTTCATACGTAACATATTAGTATTTTAACCTTTCTTTAATCACTAAATAAAGAACAAAGTGGTTTCAGGTATGCTTCACAATTAAAATAAAATAAAATAAAAATGCTTGCAATAATGTTTTCACTTCGATGAAAAGGAATGAGTTCATTCATTTCCTTCATAAACATCGAACACTCATTCATAATGCACAAGCAAAATTTGTTTGACTGACCAATCTGCAAAATCGTTAACCAACATATACAAATATTCAATAAATTTCAACCCCGACCTTTAATGACTACCTTATGATAAACAAAATTTGAAATCATAAATGGGAACTACAATACTTGATTGAATATTGTTCTTCATGACGTGATTATGAAAAATCACAAAATTCTATTTATGGCTAACGTTTTTGCGATCATAAACCAACATCGTATAATTATATATATAAAGAAATAATGTTCGAATGAAAAGTTTTAATATTTAAATATCCAACCTATCTATTTGTTTTTTTAAGTGATTTATTTAATGGTCTAAAATGGATTTTTTATGGTGAGATTTGTTTTAATAACCCATACTAGAATCCATCTACTTACATTCTCATTGACGAGATGATGTATTTAACCACAACTCTATTTGCATGCATTGTTAACTATCTCAAATACAAGTGCATAACAATTAACTTTGAAAATACTATAACGGGATGGTGGGAAGTGCCAAAATGATAAGAGTGTTATTTTAAATATCAATCTCCAATATATTAAAAATGAATAACTCATAACACATTCACTTTGATTATAATTGGGGCAAAAACTCCTACTAATATTTAAATATGATTTTTTAAATTTAACCATTAAATTATAATATATTCACACTTGTCATATAAAAATTAAGTTCTTCTACTCTTTTTTATATTTTTATTTTGCAAAAATATAAAAGGTAATATATTAATTTTTTGAAGTATTTTTTTAATAATTTTTTTTTCTCATAATAAGTGTTAAATTTGAAGAAAAAATAAGTTCTAAAATAAGTGTTATGTTGATTTTTTAATGTATAATTAATTGATCTCTTTTTCATTTATACCCTTCATAAAATTCTTTAAACAATGGGTACTATATTTCATTGTTTATAATAAAGAAGATTAATCACAATTTTTTCATACTTGATTTGTGCAAAAACATCGTTAAACAATGCTTATTAAGAGATGAAAAAATTGATCACAGTTTAATATAGAGATTTAGAAGTGATGACTAATCCAAACTCATTATATTATTTTAAAACATAAAAAAAGTATAAAAAAAATTAATACAAGATATAAATGATTAAATGATTATTTAGTTAGTTATATAAAAAGTATTTTTTGAAAGTGTTAAAAAAGAAAAATCATTCAATCTTTTTAAGTATGAAATCTCTTACAGACCAGTTTAATATATATTTATATTTCAAAAACGTGAAATTATACATTTAATATTACAAATGTATGTATGAGTCTTGCCTCCATTGCCTAAAACTTCTAAATTTATCACACGTACAATTATCTTGCATAAGAACAATTTTTAACACTTTTCTTCAACAAACAAATTTTTAAAAATTCTTTTAACTTCCTATCTAATTTGATTTTTATTTACCATAAATTTAATATTTTAAAACAAATTATAATAAATAAAAATAATATTATGCTACAATATACATTATTTATTATAATTCTAAAATAGTTTATATTTAAAAATATTCATTTATGTAAATTCTAAATATAATTTATATATTTAAACACAATATTTATTTATATACATAATTAATTATAAATTTTGGTCATACATAATAAACATTTAACATGTACATTATACAAATTGAAATACTAGATATAATACAAATTAAATAATTTATGCTACATGTAAGTACTCAAAAAACAAAGAAAAAATCCAAAATTAAAGAAACTCATGATAAGTAGTATGTTGCAATTTACACATACAATTACAATCAAAGAGCAATAAAACATAGTAAGGAAATAAAAAATTAAAAATTAAAAAAGAAATTGAAATATGTTGATTCTGGCTTAACTTATCTGCTAAAGCTTAAACTATCAGCTTTCTTAAGTAGGCCAATGACAACCAACTACCAACTTCATGAACAATAATGATTCATACACTCAAAACAACAAAAGCTTATCATAAACGCAAAGGAAGAAAAGACAACATACCATATTTAGTTCAATGATGCGACCACAAAAACAAAATTTCTCATCAAAATCCAGTGTCACCCTAATGTTAGCTTCAATGTTAAAATATATACAACACTCCATCCTTTCACTGGTAAGCATTTCAAAGACTAACTTTCGACAAAGAAATCACGATTCAAGAACTTTCAACTCAAAATCAAGACCTTTCATCTGGGACATAGAAATCAAATCTAACATCAACAGAACCAGAAGCCTCTCCGGTGTCCTTATACTCAACATTCGTTATTGTCCCAAATTCATCCATATCTTGATATTCTGGCTTAACTCGCCGTACAGGCACTGTGACAGAATAAATAGTTCCAAGATCTGTATCAGCAGAAACACTCAGCTGAACTTTATCCTGTGATTCTATTTCCACAAAATCTGATAGAGCACGCACAACATTGCTAACAATTTTACGCTTTGCCTCGTCACTAACTGCGCACCTATCAGAGAACAAAATCATCTTCAAGCGTTGCTTCGCAATCCTAGCATTGGAGTTTTTTCTAGATGTTGCCGATGGAAAAATTATTTTCCAAGCCAAATTTAACCGCTCAAAGAAGTTCATTTTAACAGCGTCAAGGAGAAAGTTCTCAGCTTCTTGGCTAACTGAATTTGATGAAAATTTGGGACCTCCAAGGACCCCAGCAACTGGCTTGCAATACCCACGCATATTGCATCGTACAATAGTCAGGCAGGGGCATTTTGGGGTAAATTCAGAGATGCTACATGCTCCATTCAAGAATCGATGAAATTCTACCTATTAGATAGAAAATTAAGAAATTAATGACAAGGAATTTTTCATTGCTTTCAAAATTTTGATTAAGTCTGTATAATATATAGGAAAATGTGAGCATTTTATCAACAATGCAACATTCAAGAAGCTAAGCCTCGAGCACCTGATCTGAATAAAAACGTGTCAACAATAGAGAATTGAAGAACGTTTTATTGAACCTTTCCCCACTCCATCAGTAAACATAAGTGCAGTATCACATCCTCCTTAAGCATACTTCAAACCCCAACTAAATGGTAAAAATCTATATATATATATATATTCTATTCTATAATTTCTAAGGCAAGTAACTTATCAACAATATATTACACATAATTTCAATCAAATGAAAAAAGAAACAAAAATAGTTATTCCCTTCTCTAATACTTTGGTCTCTAAGGAAGGCTATCATATCAATTTAGCCTAATAAGATCTCTTATAGCATTCAATCAACCAAAATAACATATAATTCAACAATTTCCATGTATTATTTTCATCATCTGAAAACACCTATAGAATTATTTGGTTTAGAACCACAAGTATCTTCCATAGTAGACGGTCCTGTTTGAGTTGAGGACATATGTAACATACCAGGGATAGCTCTCCCAGCAGATGTTTCTTCTATACACAAGGCTCAAGATTGTCAAAATCAAGATCTTACTCGAGATAAAAAGTGATTGAAAACATAAAACTAGTTATCGTAACACTATCAAAAATATATATATATATATATATATATAAACATAAAATGGCAATAATATAACTAATTAATACATGTAAGTTTAAAAATACTACTAAAATTCAAGTATAAAAGAAAATGATATTTATTTTGAGCTATTGTAATATTTTAAATTATTTATATTTGATGGTAATTATAAAAAAGAAAAGGCAGAAAAGAGCATAAAGTGGGGAAGAAAAGTCATTCCAAAATTTACAATATAATGTATTTCAAATGAAAGGCCAAAAAGAAGCCCAATTCATGGGTTTCAGAACCAAAAAATAAAAAGTTTCACCCAAGTTACACTGCAGCCGGTTAGAGGGATTGAGGACGGAATTGCAGTGGCTGACTTGAGAGCAAAGAACTCAACCCATCAAGGACATCTTAAGGGAGGGATCAGGTCAGAGTGATAAAGAGAGAGGCATAGTGATTCAAAGAGATTGATACGAGGAGGATTTAAGGATTTCAGAGAAGAGAAAAATTGAGTGGCTCATAGAGGTAAGCCTGACCAGACAGGTTGCCGACACCAGAGGGAGAGAGGAGAGAAAGTTGTTAGTAAGTGTTACACAACCAGGAGAAACTCGTACGCTTATAAATATTTGCAAGTTTGAAGCTCTAGAGTCTAGAGAGTTCACCAATTTCCCAACTTCACAAGCAATCCCAATCCTACTCTGTCCTCACATACCAGCGATCCTGGTCTGAACGAGCACAGAAAAAGCTGAGAATCATAGGATCTTACTATCCTAAGAGTCTGTTTGGATACAAGTTAGAGACACTCTGAGAGTTCTCTATTGGAGATAAAGAGTATTTTTCAATAGAAAAACTCTCAAAAAGATTTCTAATCTTGTATCCAAACAGGCTCTAAGAGTATAATCCCGATTTTGGCAATCTTGGCAAAGCTCAAACCTAAAACCTACATTCAATAGCACCTCACCTATCATACATTTATACATCCCTTATTTGTAACTGTATTAAACCATTATAGATTAAAAAAAATAAAAAAAACACTTTCAACCAGAAATGCTAGACCATCCATTGTACCATGCCAATTGCCAAATGACACTAAATGCATACACTAAAACAATACTTTTGTACTCAAATAAGAGGGTCACACCTGTTTCTTCAAGGCTTGTCGTTGTATCATAATAAAGCAACTACATTTTTTTCCTTGTTTTTTTATTTTCTGAATGTTTCATAGCTGAGACTATAGTGAATAATACACAATACGACACGGTTGAGGAATCAAGAAAAAAAAACGGCATTTTTATAAAACCCTAATCGAATTCCAGAACCTCAAACGGTGAGTTTTGCGTGTAATTAAGCGATGAAATCAGCACGCGAGGATTTGAAACGAGATTATGTGCAACCTGTGAGAGAGTGTGAGAAGCATTAGAGAGAAGAGAAGGGGGGGGGGGAAATGGAGAGGTGAGAGAAAACGAAACCTTGGGGGAAGGGAGAGAAGAGGCTCGGAGTGGAGGCGAGTGGGAGTGGGAGTGAGAGCGATAGAGAGGAAGCGTTGCCGAGACTCTGAGATCGCCGGAAATCGCCATTGTTGAGAGCTTCGGATTGTGCTCCGAGAACGCTTCAAAGTTCTCAGTCGCAATCTTCTGCTTGCTCACTATTATCACGCCTCTCACTACGTCGTCGTTTCCTCAGCATTTTTTCCCCAATTTACGCTGTCAGGATATAACAGTTAAATTTAAATATACTACATCTATCTTTTAATTATATTACTCAATTTTTTTTTCAATTATATTAATTATTTTTAGATTAAAATATCTTTAATAAAAATATATTTTCGTAATTTTATAGGATAATTTTAAAAGTATTTATTTTAATTGGTTAAGAAAATAAATAATATTAATTATGATAAAAAAAATAGTATAAAATTAATTTTCAAAAGATATAAAAATAAGATAAATTTATTGGTAACAAGTATCAACTAAATTAACTATTTTTTTTTAATTGGACAAAACTTGTGTATAATTTTTTTATGTGTGATTGGTGTTAAGAGTTTGAATTTTATTTTGATAATAGGCATAAATGTATATTAATAAGACTTGTATTTAATATAAGTGCATAATATATACATGATTGAAGATCAATACCAATCGCATCTAAGGAACTAAACCTGAATTTTCCCTTTCATAATCTTAGTAAATTAAGTATTTAGATCTTATATATAAGAATGGAGGTGGTGTGTGCATATATATACATATATATATATATATATAGAGAGAGAGAGAGAGAACCCTGAACCCTAAACCTTAAACCCTAAAAAAATACACAAGTAAACAATCTAGTTTATATTAAAACTTGAGTAATATATACACACAAAAGAAAAGAACTTGATGTAAAATAAAATTAAAGTAATGTTATTTGTACAACTCATAAAAATACAACTCAGAGAAGGAAAAAGAAAGAGAGAGAAATATGAAATATAAAAAATAATATGATAAGAAGATAAACATACAAAACATTCTATAAAAATATTATATAAATTGTTTTATGAATGACACAACTCTTAAAACTTGTATTTCTTAATTTATAATTTGAAAGAGTTGGACTTTGCTTTGATCCTTTCATGAGCACTAATCTTCAAATCAAAGTCCACTATTAGAACTTTAGGTTTAATAAAATTGTCTCTTTTGGAATCTCTTCTTTCTTACTATATTGAGATTTGTGTTTTACTATTTTGAACCTACAAGATAGTTTTTTCTTCTTGTTAACATGTGAGACCTTTGGCTAAGAAATTTAATGATAAGGTGCTTTGTTTAAATTATAGTTCATGTTGTGTTGAATGATGGTCAACTAATAGTGGTCCGATCAATCCACCACTAAGAACTTTGTAGGAATTGTCTTTCCTTCTATTACACCCTACACAATGAAGGAAGTTTATAGATATCCCAAAAGTTGAATGAAGTCACTCACTAGAAAAACCTACCTAATTGATATTTGTACGATGAAAGATATTTGTTCCAAAGTCGAATTCGCTAAAAGTATGGCAATACAACATGTTAAATGAGTTTTTCTTTTATCCACAAATGTCTTTCTTGGCATTTGTATTTAATGTGATTGCTTTAATGATAAGGTTTATGATAATATTTTCATGGTCGTCTTCTAATAATGAAATTAGTGGAGTAACATCTTTAGGCTCTTAATGTCTTAGAGATTCATGGAGCTTCCACCTATTTATAACTCTTAGTACTCTCGTCCTTGCATTTGTTGAGCTTCCTCATCTAACAATTATTTACAAAAAATATATCAATTTTTATGCAAAAAGCTTTCAACGTTTTTTCATGATGAAGCTTGTAGGTTGTTAATTATTGTGTTGTTTATGTTAATTGTTACTTGAATTCATCTAGAATTAGTTGTGTTGTTGTTGATTTGAGAAATGAGTCTCTTATTGTTTGGGTACTGGGAGTTTTGAAGGAGAAATGATTGAATCTTAATTGTTTATTGTTGCATGTTGCTCAAAATGGTGACTTCGAGTTGTTATACTGTATACATGTTGTTAGTTGAGTTGCATGATAGAATAGTTTGGAGAATTGCAAGCTTTGAGCCAAAATTGCAATTCTACCAAGTGTGAAAATTACCATCACATTGAACGTATCTTCATGGCATCAAGTGTAATGTAGGTTAGGGATTTTCTCTCTTACTAACGTCGAGGGCAAAATTAATAGTGTCAAGCATGAGTTAGTTATGAGCTCTTTGACTTAATCACACCGGACAAGGAATGAAAGGCGATGAGTATGATTGCTCAAGGATTTCTTTGACTTGGTGATGTCAGACATGGTCAAGTTAGTGGCTTTCCGCCTAAACGACTATAGGCATGAGTTTTATAGCATCAAATGTGGGACAACAAAGACTCTCTACTTAAATAACGCTGGGCATAAGTTTTGTGATGTTGGGCGTGGTGTACATACATACCCCTTGTCTCATTTACATTAGGTACAAGTGTAATGACGCCAAGTGTGAGTGAGTTAAAGGCTCTCTACCTCACTAGCGTTGGACATGTCTTGAATGACACTATGTGTGGTTGTGTTGAATGAAAATTGTAAATTAATTTATTTAAAATGTTGAATTATGATGATAGTTTACTTTATATGATGATGTTTTAAGTTGAGAAAGTTGAAAATTGGTTATTAGTAGAGTTGTATGATAATAAGTTTATTGTTGAATGAAGTTGTTTTGTGAGCTTGAAGCATATAGTTGTGTTGTTTACTTAGTACTAGAGTAAAGATATTGTTTTTAAAGATGAATATCACATTGAGAGGATATGTGTTGTAATGCTCTAAGAGCCAAGTTATTGAAAAAACCTTCTTGAGTATAGTTGTATATTAAAGTGGAGTGTTAAGTTTCCTCTATGTCTTTAGTTGATACCATATGGGGGTTAGGTTGAGTCATACTGGTTTATAAATGACCAATTAAGTAAGGTACAAGATTGGAGGCCAAAATCCCTGACTAAGTACTAGAAAGGTGTACAATATTTGGAGGGTAGTCGATGGGTTAATTCCATATAGGCTCAATTATGCATGCTAAAGTCATGGTAGACTCACACCCTAGTTGTTATATTCCTGACGTGGATACTAAACTTTCCTTGTCTAAGTGGTGGAATCCAAGAAATCATGTTGTGTTGTGGATTGTATCCAAATTTATTGTTAATCTAGCAAGCCTATAAAGATCACATTGTTAAGTTAGTTTAGTAGGGTCAAGTCACTTAGATTGTTCATTTTATTGTAAAAGATCCCGTAATTGAAATGTATGATAACACATTAAGTTGTATTATGTTGTAAGCTGATATGTTGTTTTGTTGTTATATGGTTGCATTGTTGACATGTTGTGTTGACATATTGAAAAAAGTTAAGTTTAAGAGTTGTGATGAATGTTGATATATGTTGTTGAAGTTGACTTAGGTTGTTGAGTTTTGTTGACGCAGTTGTTTTGTGTAATTAACTTATTTTTTTCTATATCATGTTGTTTCTTGATTTCAAGCTTACCTTTACATTTTTCTTGTTATTGAACTGTGATAATTATATTATTATAGGAGCAGTGTAGGATTAGGCTGGAAGACAAGTTGATTTTTTTAGGGCCATGCTAGAGATGACGGTGTTTGTTGTGTTTTTCTTACACATCTTGTAAGTAATAGTTGCTTGGTTGACAACCTAGGATTAATGTTTTCAGTCTGAATTATTCTCTCTCTGTGTGTGTATATATATATATATATGTATATATATGTGTGTGTATGTAAGTATAGTTTTACGTTATAGTCTCACTGAGTGATTTATATTTATGATTTCAATTGATGAATTTTATAAACACATACTCTCTCTCTCTCTCTCTCTCACACACACACACACACACACATATATATACATATATGTATATATATATATATATA